CAGTCCAGGAACGGCTGGCCCCTCGGCTGGGGGCGGCGGGGGCTTCACCTGGGAGTCTAGGAGGTAACGCAGAAAGAAAGCAGTCCAGGAAAGGCTGGCCCCTCGGCTGGGTGGTGGTGGGGGCTTCACCTGGGAGTCTAGGAGGTAACGCACGACAGATACCAAGGCAGACCGAGTGTTCAGAACCTAAGGGACCACCATCTGGCTAGAAACCAGCAGCACAGTGCGGTCTGTTTACAGGGAAAAGGGGGCAGGGCAGGGGGGCAGGAAAGGGAAAGACCAGGAGAGAGAGACACCCAGCTCCCCCCAGAGCTGCTCAGGCTGTTCTTTCCAGCCCAGCGTCAACCCCAGTGCTGGCTGGTGCCTGGCAATCTTTTCCCAAAGAAGAAAAGCCTTCTGCTCTCGACTAGGAGTTCAGGGCTTGCGGTGCCGCACTGCGCTGCGCTGGGCCACCGCTCCCCAGGCTCCCTCACAGAGGCTGGCGAGCAGCAGGGCCCTGCAGAGGGAAGGGGCAGACAGTGGCTCTGGCCGGAAGATGGGCAGGCAGCTGTCATCACTGCCTGGGTTCAGCCTTGTCACCAGGGACCAGTGAGACAGGCAGTGTACTCCCGCAGCTGCCATGACAAGCAGCTCCCCGTGCTCGAGGTTCAATGCCAGCTTTCTGTGGCTGAGGAACCTGGGTCCCAGTCCTAGCAGAGGCTGCTTGGTCCAGCGACGAGGTACAGCCGCAGCGGCTCCACCACTGGAGGGTGCAGTCAAAGTTGAGAAGGTGTTAGAGGGCTGTGGTGGCGCCCAGGGCTAAGCACAGAGCCTGGCCAGGGTGGGAGCGCCAGGCGCCCAGGCTGCGGGCAGGGAGAGGCCACAGACTTGGATACTGCCAGAGTCAGTTTTATTAGGGCCCAGGGGACCGAAGGGCCGAGGCTCCCCCTGCCCCTCCCCATGCCCCACTCCCGGGATGTCTGTTAGCCCCAACTGTAGAAATAAATTTTCTGCCAGGCAGGTAAGTAGTCCATGAGTGGCTCTGCAA